GTTCCACACAAACCTGGCCATATATAGCGGCGCCCACAAAATAACGGCATCGTTAAGGCCAGGATTGTGTGGAACCGAACACGTGACCTCAGTTAGGCGTGACATCAGCGGTGTATGACGCAACCACTTAAACGCGCATTGCTGATGTACCCTAACATGGCACAGCCCCTAGCATGGCCCAATTTGATGTTAGCCCCTAAAGTGCCTTGTTAGAGCATTTTATCCATCAAGTTGACTTGGGACCGAGTTGACTTGGGACCGAGCTGACACCGGGACCGAGTTCGCATGGGACCCAGTTCACCTTGGACGAACGTAGTTGACTTGCGACCGAGTTCACTCGAATTGCGAACCGACTTGGTACATGGTTTGGGACAAAAGACTTGGGTTAGGCTACCAAACTCGGTCCCAAACCAACTCGGTCTCAAGTCAACTCGGTCTCAGGTGCCAAAAAAATAGATGGAGAAAATGTCTGCAATTTGATTCACAGAACGTGATCTGTCTTTTTTGTGTGTATGTATTTTCCGTGGTTAACATTTTGATTTTATTTAGTTGGTTTAATCATTTATTTCGAGGTCGTACCAGTTGTACAGCTCTTACTTGAAGCAACGTGTTTCCCCGAAAATTCCTGCCGCTGCAAGTTGCTTGCAGCCCGCTGCACTAGCGCTACACAGTGCAGTCACGCGCGCTAATACCGTGCGATATATGCCCATCGTCAGTAGCGTTCTGCATACCTACATTTTTCGATATTTTTAAGAATCATCGACCTGAAATACAGTTTAGATTAATTTAAGACAAGGTTTATCACATTTTAAGGGTCATTTTCGATAGCTTTCGTGGCGCAAATTTAAATAAATCAGACCCCGGTACACAATACTATGTGTTTTCTATAGCAATCGCGGTGCGGCGAACCCCATTCAATCCCGCAATGCACTGCGGTAAACATCGTGTGACGTATTAGTACATAGGGTTATTAAAGAAGCGGTTCCTCTAGGGGGTCAACTCAACCTTGTCCCCAGTGCTTTCTTTATTCCCAAGCACGTTTCCAATAGTAAGCCCTGGATAGGAAACTTTCTTCCTGTATCCTGATTCGATACCTGTATCCTGATTCGTGTTCTTGGTGCTGTTATTCACAACGTGCAGTACGTGTTTTCGTGATTATTCGTCCACGCCTTCTCGAAAATATTCATTTCCTTTCCAATTTGTTAATATTAAATATGAAATGTGATACTGCATGTTGTCTCGTTAAGATCGTAACAGTTTAATTAAAATAAAATCGTGTTTACGTAACTCACACCATGCTTGCGCTGCGACGAATTGATTCTGTTTTTACGCCAGACACTGCATACAAAAACAAACGCACAAATAAAGCACAGGCAGGCACCAGACAATTCCTCATGTGCATACGTGTTCAAAAATCTTGCACATGGAAATGATCCAATACCAGGGTGAGAGAGCAGGTAGTGGTGGGCACGTACTGCTCGACACCCTGGGGACAAGGAAGGGGTCAACTTTATCTTAAGCCCGATTTTTACTTCACGCGAATGCGGATGCGAAGCGAATTTGACGTCATGGCGCATTCGCTGCGAAATTTGCTCCAGTTGAAATACATGTATGTTCAACTTTTACGAATTCGCAGCGCCAATCATTACCAGCACACTTTCAAAAAATATGGTTCGGCCACCTTTCTATGCAAAGCCGCACTGGCTCAAGGTTTGTGCGTAAACCTTATCAGTCGGACGATCACACTCAATTGACTTCGGCAAAACTGCAAGTCCCATTAACCGGACCGTGATTCTAATGATACTTGCCAGACGTCACAAATTCGCGTTCGCTTTCGCTTTCGCGCCGAGTATGAACCGGGCTTTAAGTAAAACGATGATCAACATGTCCGCTTTCATTTTCTTTTCATGTTTTGGTGGGTTGATCATTGACTTTTCCAATTCTCAGCCAAAGAAGACCTTCCCTACGAATTCGCCCTTCCCAGCGCCCTGTTTAAGGAAAGTAGTACGAGCGAACGTTTTAACTTGGATTGTGCAGTTACTAAATACATCAGAAACTATAATTCCAATAATCAAGTAAGTGCATACAAAAACAACGCAATTGCTCAACAGCTAAACTGACCTACGACGTTCATAGCGACATGTAATTGTGCGAAAATGTTCTACCAGTCTGGTTCCCAGACCAAAAGATTCTGACTATTCTGATAAATCCTAGGTCTGGCAGCCGCCATATGGCTTTCTGAATAACAGCAGTTTTGGATTTTTTTTCTTATGCTGGTAACTTGATGAATAATTATAAGAAAAAAAAGTACAACTATTTTGTTAGGCGCCAAGGTAGTTTGCATATTATTTCAGTCTGTAATTATCCGTCTACCATCTGTCAGGAGCTGTATACGAAATTTTCGTTTTATGACCTACGACATTCATAGCGACATGTAATTGTGCGAAAATGTTCTACCAGTCTGGTTCCCAGACCAAACGATTCTGACTATTCTGATAAATCCTAGGTCTGGCAGCCGCCACGGCTATCTGAATAACAACAGTTTTGGATTTGTTTTCTTATGCGGGTAACTTGATGAATAATTATATTTTGTTAGGCGCCAAGGTAGTTTGCATATTATTTCAGTCGGTAATTATCTGTCTACCATCTGTCAGGAGTTGTATACGAAATTTTCGTTTTATAACCAAATTTTAGTATTTCCATAATTTATGCAAGAATCAGTAGTGCACAAAGCGTGGCTTCACGATACCTGCATTATTCAAGGAATACAAAATAGTTGGGGTTTTTTTCAAGAATTTATACGCGACTAATTTTTACAACAATTCGAAGGACACAATTTTAACCATGGGACCAGTACTGACGTATGGCTGGCACTTGGGCATGTAGGATTTTTTGTCATTCAGTTATTATTATTTTTATTATTTGTTTATAATTTTGGAACTTATAATCTTTACAAATTACGGGGGAATGGCAAAACACACTCAATGCATTAATGTTGATATCGTACCATCCTTCAAATTAAAATACACTAAAACAACATAGGAACATGTTCGACATCAATTAATTTAGTACATGCGATTTTTGAAAGATATCCACAGCAATTATGTATGGCTGCTAGATCTGAGAATACCCTTTGTTTTAGTGGATCGCTCCTGCGGCCAAGTGGTTAAAAAGCATGCGTGAGATATCCAGTCCCATTCGTACCAGTTGCACCCAATATTCACCACTTATAAACTATATACCAGACTTTGCTGCAAGACACACATTCTGAGGAAAATGCATGCCACTACTTTTGTGTTTTGTGGATTGGTGGCAGCGGTGGGATTCTATGCTGCGGACGCACAATACTGCTGTTATCCAACACCATTTATGGTAGAAATTGGTAAGTGTGGAATCTGTAAATTAGGAAAGATAATGTCAGTTTTGACTTTTGTTGAAAAATTAGCAAAAATGTCGGTGTTCAGAGTATTAACGAAATAGCCTTCTATGAACCGTTTGAAAGGCAAATTATGAACTGGTTAGGACCTACATTGGATTAGTGTTAACATTTTATTTGGGGTTGCAACGTCGAGTAAATAAGTACATTAAGTAAAGTATCAGTTTAGGGCAAATGTGACTGCAATGTGATGCTAACAGACATGTCTCTCTTCACTTTCTAGTGAGTGAGGCATAGTCCAATAACTATTGTTCCTCTTCTTATTACTTGTTTTTAATGTGGGATGGTCTGTTGAAACAAGCACTTTAGCTATCCCCTTGGGATACTGTGCTTGCTTTGCTTAATGTGAGCATGTCATAAAAAAATCCAATTGAAACTAACGTAGGTGTTCAGACTAGGGTTTATAATTATCGTGATGATTTCGCAAAGTGGCATTGCTGGTCCAAACTTTAAAACCATTTGATTTCGCTACACTTTGTTTGGACAACTTAGTTTGTATTTATTTATTTTAAATGCCAGTTTCTTGGCCTCGTGCGAACGCACCTTAAATCTTCCTTTGAATGGACGTTTTAAGGGTGAACGACAAACTGTGCAGCGTTCTGCCGTGTTTCATGAAGGCAAATTTGTTTTGCACCCGCAGGAATGCGAACCGTTTACCATACATGTATATCAATGGACCGATCCAGTAAGCACCGCCCCAAGGTGTTCTGACCAATCACATCCGTGATTTATGCCCGACGTGCGTGCACAAAAGTCCGACATGCGTGCACGCGCGTATGATGCGCGCGGCAGGAAAATGCAGTGTGGCATTGGAGAGGAGCACGTGTTAATTTGCCCACGTGCGCACTGGGCGGAGCTTACTGGAGAGGTCCATTATAACGATGTCTATTTACCCCTTTCCAAGTGTCTGGCGTCACGATCAGGGGCAACGAGACTCTAACAGAGGTTGGCGTCTTTGGTCGGGATACCGATATGTTCGCTTCAGACAGAACCTACACAAATGTCATTACAGGTGTCAAGACACGAGAACGTTTCATTCAAGAGTTTAATGCCGTATGTTACAGTCGTTCAGACCACATTTTATTAACTTTTATTTGCCAAAACATACTTTAAAGTTGAGAGGAGAATGGATTTTATTTTTAAACCTTGTGTTTTAAAGTTCATTGTTAACTTTTTTTTCTTCTGACGCTAAGCTATTGAACTCACATCTCCTCCATAAATCTGCACCCACTTTGCTCTCACCCTTTTGCAGATTCCACGCTTTTGTGGCGCATGTTAGATGATTTCATAGATAGTATTATTTACTTGAGGAAAAGTTGCTGTTGTCATGAAGTTTCCATGTTAAAGTTTCGCAATGTTTTGCAAATTTCAGAAATGAAATGTTGGTCCTTTCGGTTGTTTTTTAATCACAATTTTGTGAACGTAATACCTTGAATAAAGCAGAAATCTCAGTATTTTGACCCGTAGCATTTGTATGAATTAAAGACCCGCGAAACTACTGTGCCACTCAGAAACAACTGTTAAGCTATGTTTGTTTGTTTTTTTAATTTAATCCTAGGCATATCCGACTGCTAAAACGTGGACAATCTTCAACGACACCGAATGTTATATACATGATTCGCCGGTGGCGTTACACGCCTGCATGCCTGGTAAACTAGCCACTGTTTTCGCTTCGCATACATAAAGTTTGAGGAAGACACAAATCTGCGTATTGTTTTCTCCGTTTGTTTAGATACTATTGTGGGTTTGGGGGCTCAAATTCCATTGTTTGGTTCCTGAGAGGCCAGCCAACAATCCTGACTTACTGACTGATTGATTGATTGATTGACTGACTGTCACTTATAAATTAAACTTGCTTACGTCTTAACCCCAATAAATGAGCTAAAATCGGCTATAGTGTGTACGCATAATAAATGTGTACAAAATAATAATCATATTTGAGTGCGCTCTGAGGCCAGCTTGAATATCCTTGCATTGTCTTGTTAAGTAAGTATTCAGTCTCCTTTTATTGTACAGGGTGAGTAAACACAAAAGAAACCCTAATGCCCCCCCCCCCCTTTTAAAGGCGTTTGTCTTCGAAATTTCATAGCTGGAAAAGTATATGGGCGATTTGAATGATCCTTTCACTAAATGAAAGCTTTGTTGCTTGGGTTTTTATACGCTGGATCAAGAAAGCGCTATATACATGCAAAATTTCCCTTTTTTAAATAAGGGGCACCATTTGGGTTTCTTTTTTTTAATCAACCTGTAGACTAGAGACATAATTAACAAAATCACTGTGCTTTTTTTTGCATCAGATGCTCCGTATACCAAGTTGGAGCCATTTACCTACGGCAACGGGAAATTGACTGTCGACCGATACCAGAGGTTAACTCCATCGTCGGACTACACAGTGTCTTTCACCCAAAACTGCGAAGTGACTAATGCCTGGAAGGTGCAGACCTGGGAAGATGGTGAGTGAAAGAAAGTAATTAACAGGCATTTCTTCTCTGACTTATACCAAATTACGGTCTAAATGTTTCGGGTTAATTGAAACGGTTAAGACCCCCGTCACACTTATTCGGAATCAGCATGAATCAAGCAGAACCAGCCGGAATGAAGCATTTTCAAAATTCGTGCCACATTCGGGAGGAAATTTCAAATTGACCAAGCTTTGTAAGAATGCCGTTCAAATACTTAGAATGCGCTTCGAACCCGCCTCAATGATTCTTGCACATTCCCGGTGTATTAGCTCTCGAATCGAATGCAGCTCGAATGTAGTTGGAACACAGTAGGAATACTTAGAATGCTGTTAGAATGCAGTCAGAATATTTAGAATGCACTTCGATTGCTGCCCGAATACCGCTCGAAGTCTGGTTGGAAGGTACATGCCTCGAATGCTGTACGAATTCACCTCGAATGCAGTCAGAACGCTCCCGAAATGGCCACTGAATATGGTTGGGACGTCCAAGAATTCAAACAGAATGCAGCTCGAATATTTAGAATGTACTTTGAATGGTCCCCAATAGGATATAAAATGCTGCCGAATCTAGCATTTTCATCAGTCTCAGCCCAACTATCACAGACTGATGTTCCAGTGGCAGCTGGCCGCGTTTTTATGCGATTCGGCGTTGTTCTGAATTACGTCCGGACTCATTCGAGTGCCAATCGGGACGTTCCGACTGCATTCGAGCCGCATTCGAGCGGCAATCGAAAGATTCTGACGGCATTCGAAGGCATTCCAGCTGAATTCTCTTAATATCGAAATAGATTCCGACAGCAATCGAGATGCATTCGAGGTGCATTCCGGCTCATTCGAGGCGCATTCGGGACATTCTGGCAGGATTTGAAGTGGCTTGGCCTTTCGATTCTCCCTCGAATGCGATCAGAATGTTTCGAATGCTGTTGGAATGCCGTAAGAATATTTAGAATGCAGTCAGAGTGCAGTTAGAATACACTTCGAATGCCCTTCGATTTTTCTCCACTTCGAATGCACCTCGAAAGCTTTGAGCATGAGCAAAACATATACGTTTCGTTAAAATAGGGAAAATAGGCCTGGCTACGTGCATTTTAAAAGTTGTAACACTAGTGTTTGCAGTATATGTCAATCTTTTTAAGCGAATATTAATAAGGTTCCTATCCAGTGTGGTGTGCAGTAAAACTTTGCAGAATAGCCTCCTTGACGGGTTATTAATATATAAAAAATCACCCTTTTTGCTGGCTTCCATTGGCCGATACCGAGACCCACGCAAGTCACGCCGAGTGACGCTTATGAATATGCTAATATGTACGTCATTGTTGTCCCAAAATTGGCCAAGCATGCAAGTCAATCTGAAAAACCACGCTCGTGAGTTCGGTCCGAAAAAAAAATCCAAACTCTGAGTAATAGTGGTGTTGAGAGGTGGTGTTGGGGGTGGCGACGAGGGCCGTAATTTATCTGTTCATTATTAATACGCCTACTTTGTTCTGACAAAGTGCATTACAATAAAACAGTTCTTCATTATTTGTTTAGGTTATGTACTGGCGTACATGCGTATTTACGGCAACTTCCGTGACGTGTCGAGCTCCAGTGAATTCGATGACTTATTCAGACGACCAGACATCTGCCCCGAAGACGTAAGAACCAGTTTTATTTTCCTTCGGGCAAAGACACTCCCCTTTAAAATTCCATGAAATTTAGTTTGACACACTTTTTATTCATTTCCAGCTCCCTGAAGTGTTTGGTAGGAGCGGCGATACTGTCCAAAATGAAGAAAAGATCAAGCAACTCCTTTATGAGGCTGATCAGTTTCTGCCGTGATGCGCCTGGTCACTGCAGAACACGTTCTGAGAGATCAAACTTTTTTTGTGTTTTACGATTAATTTTTTCAAATTTTAATTTATTCGTTTATCAATCTTAATCTGCCACCTTGTCAATTGGAGTTTAATACACATACTGTTACATACCTGCAGTCTTTTGGTACCAAAACAATACGGCAAGAACCGTTTAAACCGCACTGTCATTCAATTTGCACGAGTCGGAAGCTGCTTCATGTTTGGTTAAAGGCCAATTTTGGGGTTAGCACGGAATTGTTCTGCTGGCGCGGTATGAAAAGCACAAAATTTGTGGTCGTAAGCGCAGAATTCTGTGGTTAGCAGATCAAATCCAAGGAATGGGCCCTGCTTGAACGGTGATTGGCAGTGCCACACACGCCGAGGTGAGTGGTGATTGGTCACTTGGCAAGTTGTGATGCGCTAGTCTGGTCCCCAGACCAAAAGATTCTGACTAATACAATGTATTACAATTTACGTCGCGTGACTAAAACGGGAGGAATTCCTCCTTTTTCCGAAAATTTCCGAAGTTTGCCGAAGTCGTTTGGTCGACAATCGGATAGCGCCCGAGTATTTCCGAGTATATAATATAGATTTAATTAACTGCTAATTGCTTATTAATTTTATTTGAAATGAGTTGATAATATATATTGATTGTTTTCATTAAAAAAACTTGAAATTCAACGACGATTTTGTGCATCAAATATACTCGGATCGTACGGGGGAACTTTTTGCTGCGTCATGTACAATTTTGAATTTGACGACCGTTACCGAGATTTTCCAAAACTCGGTCTTCATTCGGCTCCGCCTGCTAACAGTGCTATTTAGTTCCCTAGTTTTGAAGATTCCAGATCAACATTAGTCAATGTTATCTTACATATACATCAAACTGTATTATCACAACTGTATGATATTACGAAGCAAGTGATTTATTTAAAAATTTGATCAGAACATTAAAAGCTACAAGTAATAAAGCGAAATCGGAAACAAAGCCGCGCTTTAAAAAAGGGTCATCAATGTTGTCGTGTTTATTTTTAGCCACGGAGGCTGCCTAACCTACAATTTAAGACGTGAGCGTCGGGAATAATTGTCAGGTCTGGGAACCAGACTAGACGGTAAACGCACTTAGGTAAAACGTCATTTAAGGTGTGGCAAATTGGAAACCGCATGATATCGCAGTACTAAAGTAGATTCGCTTCATTGGGACAATTTGTGAACGAAAGATATTGAGTTCTCGGGGTGCTAGTTAAGGGGTGTTTTAGTCACACGCTATAAACCCGTAGGCCCTATGTGTAATATACTTTAGATGTTCACTTTTTAATGTATTATTGAGTGACATACTTTGATTGAAAGTTGAAATGAATTGTATGTTTAAAAAGACGGCGTTGTTAAAAGATATTTTACCCAGTTTAAGGGATATATATTGTATGTCATTTTAAGTGTTTATCCTAATTTCAAGATTGAAAGTTGAAATGTACTGTGTATTTAAGAAGACGGCGTTGTTAAAGATATTTTACCCATTTTACGGGATACTTATTGTAATCGACGTTTTCAGTGTTTATCCTAATTTCAAGATAGAAAGTTGAAATGTATTGTGTATTTAAGGAGACGTCGTACTTTAAAGACATTTACCCATTTTAAGGGATATTCGACATTTTCAGTAGTTATAATTTCAAGTCACATTTAAAATGTACACGAGTCACGATAGATAGTTAAATTGTAAACAAATTGCGTCAGCTCACACAAGAAAATAGATTTCTTATATCTTATTATAGGTTTTCCCGGACAATTTCGGAAAATGTGTACACGAATTTGTAAAAGAAGCATTCGTTTTCGTGCGAAATAGAATGAACGTTCCAAATTTCTTTTTCTATTTAACAAATGATAATTCTTTTTCCGTGAAAGTGCATTCAGTCGTAAAAAATCAGCGTACGATTTCCTGAATGTGCACTTCATTTAGTGTATTGACATTTCATTTTAGCGCGAAATCGAAGGCACATCCGCAATCCTGTTTTCCTTTTAATTTATCATCAATCTTTTTCGCTAAATGTGCAGCCGATTTCCCTCGCAGTGTTATTTAACGTATGCCTGGTCAAGCATTGGAATTCATTTATGTGTTAAAGTAACAGTTGAGGAATGGTTGATTGAATGATTACATTTTTGAATATTCAAAAAGTCCCCATGCAGATCCCATGCAGATCCCATGTAAGTGATGTGTCCCTTTACCGTCTCAATAATATGGCTACAAGATTATTTCGAGTGATTTCATATGGGTCATATTAATATCATTTTCACATTTCATTTGCCTACATTTCACATAGGCCTTTGTGTATATAAAAACAAACACATTTATGATCAATAAGGCATATATCGATTAATTAATGAATCATTAATTAATGAATCAAAGTTGTATCATGATTTGTATAGGCCTGTATAATTTATTGAAATTGAATGCAGAAAATGCGAATTTAAATTGTAACAAATGATAACAAATGTTCAATTCAGCCTGTGTCACAATAGACAATCGATTTTCTGCGAATCGGATTGCACATCCGTAATAATCGGCAACGCATCCGTCAAAAAGAAAGCCTTATCACGTATTTGTAATCCCTTAAATGAAACATTATGCACATTCATCTATTTGAATGATGCAAAATGAAATCCAATGCTAGTTATTGCCAAAATGAAACCAGGATGTACGTCGTTCTCAAACTCGGCACCGAATTGAATTTATGTTTTACAAATTCAAACGCACATTTTCCGAAATTGTTTGGGAAAACCTATATTAATGTTAGTACTGCCGTTAAACTTTGCTTTAATTCGGTGAATTTTATTCTGAGAGACAATTTAATGTATAGCATAACATTTTCATGTAAGAAATGTTTCAAATCTTTATTAATGGGCATAATATCATTGATTGAAAATAATCAAGGTTTGAAGACAGAGATTGAAAGTGGAAGGTCTATTTAAGGAGACGGCGTAGTCGAACTACTTGTTACCCATTTCAAGGGATATTTGTTATATTTTACATTTTTAGTGTTAATTATTAGTTAAAGGTATTTTACGCATTTCAAGGGGAATTTATGATTATTAAATTGTCAGTGTTTTCATGGTGTAAGATTGATAGCGGATTAAAAAAAAAGTCTTTAACTATCAAATGATGTTGTATCGATTAATTATAGTTATCGCAGCCTGTTAACAATTTGCACACATTCGGTGTATTGCATTTCATTCAGTGAGTCACTTTAATGTTTATATAGCACAACAGTTCTCTGTTAGAAAAGATTCCAAACCGAATGATGAGTTTAATAATTGATTTGAAAATGATTGAGGTTTGAAGAAATTTGAATACTTCCAAGGAAGGGCACTATACACTTGCCAAAAGAACGAATGATAAGTGACTAAGCCATGATTTACAAATTACAAAATATAAAATGTATGTTTCATTTGTGAATTTACTAAACCTGTCTTGCCCAATAAATAGATCTCACAAACAGAGGCCATATTGGAGGGCAGTGCCTTTGTTCTGCCAAGATGAGAATACCTATGTAACAAATCAGCCCTCTAAGATGGCTGCTGTGCATACGGTCTATTATACATCAATTTCTAATTTGCCCAGCAGTGAAGTTAAAGAGAATATAGAACATTTGCAAACATCGGAAAACAAAAACTACCCTTTTTTTACGAAAAACCTTCCTAGGATGTTGGTAAATGACAGTTTAAAGCATCCTGTAAAATTATGGCACCAGGTGTGAAGTCATTTTCAAGAAAATTGGTATTTTGTAAAAATTTCCAACGGTGGTCGGCCGACCACCGTAGGAAAAACCTGACTATTTCTCAACTACTGCTCCAATTTACCATTTTTGTTCAGTCCAAATTTTGTTTGCTATTGGTTACATGTTCATAAACGGGTGCAGGCCAGCTAGAGTGTTTCCATTACCTTACAATTTTCTGGCATCTATAAATTGATCCATTTCACCTTTAGTGGAGTCAGGGAACCAGACTCCTCGAACATTTTTGTTTTTCTTAGTTTTTACAGCATTTTCGAACACAAAACTTCAAACATGTCAGTGTAACAATATTTGATTTATTATACTAACCCCTCAAATAGTTCATTTCTGAAAATTACAACAATTGCCAATGATGTACATTCCCTTTAAGGTTTATTCACCCCCCCCCCCCATCAAAAAAAAAATTCTTGAAAGTGAATGTAAAATTGTCATCAGGTTTAAAGTCTTTTTAATTGGCAAACATTATCCCAACCGTTTCGCCCCAACACTGCCAGTTTCAATGTTGTAGAATGAATTCATTAACCTTCATGATTATAATGCAAAGTTGGTTTTCACAATCTCTTGAATAGTACCATTTGGGAGATACCTGAGCGTCAGAAAGTATACCTTTGGAGGACATGTCTAATTAGGGAAACATTCATTGTCTCCCTAACGCCTCAGCCCCTATTCTGAGGCAACATTTCTCCTTCGCAAATAGGCCCGGGACTATTGCTCGTGGTCAAGGTGGTATAAACACCAACATCTCTGGCGGTATAGGGAACATAGGGGTTAGGGGTACAAACAAGTCTACGAGAATGTCTCTCTGAGGGTACTACTTTCAGTGATATTACTTACTCTAACACATATCATTTAGATTCCGTGGAAAGACACTTTAATTTGTTCCAGAACGAATTTCCTCAATTCTGGGTGATTTAGAGCGCAACATTCATGAATAATTCACCAAATATGAAGTATATTGGTGTAAATTCAACAGCGTTCTGGGCCAAAATCAAAATATATTTCCATGGAATATGAATGTTACAAGTTTTAAAGTAACTGAGAAAACATATGGCAACAAAAATCGATAGTTGACACGTTTTTGCATGTCACTGGATGTCACATACTAAACTGTTCCACAGAAGCTTGTTATATCGCCGTGAGTGTAAAAATAAAATGAAAAAATTCAATTGTTAAAGTTTGTTCATTTTTGTGCTGTGTTCAAATTAGAATATAATTCGCAGTTATTTTAGTGACACATCATATTATCGCAATGCTTTCTTTTTCTTCATCAGACACTTTCGTGGTTAATGGAGCCTGAAAGTGCGTCAACTTGTCTTTGAGCTTCCGGATTTTGTCTTTGAGCGTCCTGTGGGCCTTTTACAAGGGGTTGCCCTTTCTCTTACTAAATTTTTGACACAATGATTTCTAATCACAAGGCGTTCCACAAGAAAAAAAAAGAGAAATCATTTGGAGATGGGTAAAAACGAAATTTACTGACGACCTTCTGATTTCCGTACCTAGGTCTCCTTGCTGGATCACGGTTGTTTTAACTTGCGTGAGAACGAAAATGATAACGACGCAAAGAGTTACATACCTACATCCAATGGATTTAAAATTTTGTCAGGCTTGTTTTAATAAAGTCTTTATAAACGGTCATTTTAGA